ATGCACCAGCATATAATATTTGAATAGCATTTATGTATGTGTGGCATTATTACTTTTTTTAATTGTTATGGTACATAATATTACTGCAACTTGTAAGCACTTTGAACATATTTAATTATTCACACATATGCAGTATATGCATATGTATAGTTTTATTATATATAAGATACATATAATACAGATTTAATTTAACTTTCAGTAATTGGACTGTGTAAACCAAATAAAATAAATTCCAGCACATAATACGTATCAACTAACTATCGAACTATGTTCAGTAAAATTTCTAGTCAATTCCTAATTATAGAAATGTTTTTTGTAGCTACTTCATCATTCTCCCAATGCAAAAAATAAATTTTATGGTCACATTTTTTATAAAAATCACACTGTGTATAACCCTGATCAGGTATTTTGTCAAAAATATTCATCAGCAGAGTTTCGTACAACTATTTAATCTAACTCAAAATTAACAACATATCTTATAAAATAATTAATACTTAAATAAAAGAGCTCAAAACCAAAAAAAAATCAACCAAGAAAAGAAATACTTTACGGTACAAAATTTATATTTTGTTTAATCATTTTTGCTCAAGTTCCTCTATGATTTGTGTGTTTTTGAATCATGAATTGCATAAGTGCACGTGTTATTTATTTTTGATAAGTTAGGAATGAATTTAATTGTAATTTTGTGTTATAAATAAAAATAGTTCATGTATAAACAAATAACCAACTGATTATTGTTTTGGATTCCTAAAATACGTTCATCTTGAAATCTTTATAATATAATATTAAAAAATCGTAAAGATCATATTTGGAATCCCGTTGATGGTTTTCCCTCGTTCGCACCCACCGGAAGCACAGAAAAGGCACGCGCCATGCTGTCGCTTATTGTCACTTGGAAGAAGTGCAGAATGAATCGTTGTTACAAAGTAAATGTACAAATTAAATTATTAGGCTCTTTTACCATGAGTCCCATAGATCGAAAGCGACAACTGAAATATATATATATTTTTAATTATTTTTTGAAAAGCAATCAGTACCTTACGTCCTATGAGCTGTTGGGCTGAAACTTCTCCTTCTTTCGTATTTTTTAGATGGTAACCCAATGGTTAATCCATCCATATTTGATGATTTTGTTATTAGAATTAATCTAATAGGGCTGACATTTTATTGGTGCAGCAATGCCGGGCAAGGGCTATTTTCACTTGGAAACATATTGCTATCTATATTTTCAAGTGAAAATCGTTGTCACTGCTGCCTGGCAACAGGCTGCTCGAAGTGGGTATCGAACCTGGGACCTCTGAAACAAGTTCCGTCGCTCTTAACCGCTTACCTACTGGCGAGCCCAACTGAAATATATAGTGTTTTTATTATGCATTTGAAATATTTTATAATAATAAAATTATTTAAAGCGGTAGTCTGGTATAGAGGCATGAATTTTATGCGATTTTGAAAGGCCGCAAAAAAGACAATTTTAAAAAAAAAGTTAATGTTTTGAGAATTATGAAAAAAATAAACTTAAAATAGTCACAAAGTTTTAATTCTCAATTGAGGAATCTTAAAAAGTTGTCACCTGATCATACTCGTAATTTCAGATCTGTAAACAATCTAAAAAAAAAACTAGTGGGGTGTATGGCATCGTGCCTTAAGGCAAATTCCCGTACCGTAACGAAATGTTCGAGGAATACTGAATGTTTTTAAATAGATTATTATAAATATTGTAACATTGTCTAATATTTATAAGAATTATATAAACTGAATTGCAAAGTTGAAATTATTTGTTTAGAACTTTAGTCAGAATAAAAATAAAATCTGAATTATTTTCGATATACAACAAAACTACTAATTCTAAAAACACTAATCATTACTAATAGAATGTTTTTTAGATCATTCAAATCGGATACTCCGTTCTCTCAAAAAGTCGATTTCTATTTTCTGCACTCTTTGCTCCTTATCTCCGAAACGGCTGGACTTGCCTTCGCCAAAAACTAATCAGCTCTTTTCCCTATCAATAGGAATCGAATGTTGTTTGAACCATTCAAATCGGTTGATTCGTGCGCCCGAAAACGTGACTGGAAATTTGTATCCATACATACATACACACACGCACACATACACACACACCTATTTTTTCTGAGGTATGCCAAAATGTTCAGAAACCTTCAAAACATCGAGAAATGTAAAAAATTTCAATTTCGATTTTCGGCCCAAATTAATACATATGCTATTTATTTAGGATAATTTCGCAACGTATGGACAAGTTAAAAACAATGTTTTTTTCCACAAAATAGAAACTTTCTGGAAAGAAAAAAACAATATTTCTTACAACTTTTTTTGATATTTCACATTTTTTTGAAAATGGTTAAAATCTGAATTTGATGATGAGTTTATATTGAAGAGAAGTCTGTAAAACACTTGTAGAACTGTGAAACATTTGAAGTGAATCGGTCCAGTAGAAGTTGAGAAATCGTTTGTATCGAAAAAGACAGTTTCGAGACAAACACTTTTAAAATTCCGCAGAGAAAGGAAAAAGTGGAGAATTATCGTGGTAAAACAGCTATATCCGAAAATAATTTAAATTTTGAAAAATTCTTAAAATAGTTAAACTTTGAAGATATCCGAAAAACGAAATCGATTTTTTAATTTGTTGCCAGAATAACCCCTTAAACTATATATCTGCATGCCGTATGTTATATGAATGCCAACATGTGAATAAACTATAGTGATATGAGTACGTACGTTGTGATGTTCCTAATATGTTACCATTATCTAAGTCATTTTATTACGGTCATTGATCTTCGAACCAAAATCCTGCAAATTATGTCGATCAATTCAGCAGCCAACAAGTATGTATCATTACCATAAATGCCCAAATGGCATGTGCGCCCGTGCGTGCTTGTATACGAGTTCAGCTCTCCATGTGAATCGCTGCACACCATACACCTCCACCGTTCGAGATACACCTCACCGCTGCCGCACTCGGAGTACCGCCACCGCACGGCTATATCTATTTTGCCTTTGATCCGTGTAAACTCGCGACCTCAGTTTTAATGAATCATTTGCCAGCGTTCTCTGTATTCAAAGCGGCCGAATCGCTTTGACGGTCGCATCACGTGAGACTAAGCATATTAGGGACGGTTTACATTTTCACGGCTGAGAGAAAAGGGCGCTGAGCGTTCCCTCACACTTCTTTGCATGCGCTAGTGGCACCAAAGAAACCTTTTCTAACTGGCGGAAAAGCGCAAAAGTTGTACAAATAATATCATGTGCAGTAGTTTTGGTAAATGGCATGTTTGCGTAATTGAGATTTGATTATTCTTTGTCATTTATATATCTATTTTACGTCTAATAGCACAATACGTTGTTGGTATGGTGTTGGGGGAAGATGCGCCAAAATCAAAACTGTCGTCGTTTTTGGTGGGCAGTCTGGAAAATTGAAAATAAAAAAATCGTAAACTTTAAAAATATTTCTTAAAATAAACTCTTCGACTGTTTCACAATAAAAAATAGAACTTAGAATCTAGGGATATTAGAATAGAAGAATAATTGTGTAACTTTTACACAATATCTTATTGCAGAAATGATTCGATAAGATCTCGAAATTGGTATATTTTTTCAAAAATGTGTTTATTTGTAAAACATTAATAGCGCAGCCTTTTTTCCTTAAAAAAATATGATTTAAGATTAGTTTCATTTAGAATGGCATATAAATTAGTTTTGAAAACATAGGCCACGGGTGGAATTGATAATTTTTGGTGCGGTTTCCATGAGTAAACGACGATTTTTGGTGCAGTCTTTATAGTGTGATGGACTTTCTGAAGTAACTTTGAAGTAATATTTCTATTGTCATATATGAAAACATATTAACCCTTCGTCGGTAGGCGTGGTCTGACCAAACTTTTTTCGACTTCAATTAAAAAAAAATACTTTTAGTAATCCTATCGACTTGAAATTTTTTGACTTTTCCTAAAATTTCATTAGCTGTCGATCAATGAAAAAATCAGGGCGAAAAAATGTACAGAAAGATAATTATAAGGATATTAACTTTTTTATACTTCGAACGGTCGGAGTGGTCTGTCTAGACCACCCATACATTTTGTATGAAATATACGCTTTTTGAATGTGTAAACCAGTATTTTGTCTTTTTCTATTCAAACTGCATTTTATATATTCTTTGCTAAGTGTTGTAACATGAATGTTAGTATTTTTACGACGAGAGTTCCTTGAAAACCTACCAAACTTATTGGTCATCGCAAACATTGAAACTCGGATGAGTAATGCGCACATTATCAACAATTTTTCTACCCGTACTGCGTTCGAATTTTTTTTTGGCAAACCTGTAGTAAAATTATATTTTCAACTTGAATTTTACAGCTCATTTTAAAGGCGACGCACCTCATTTTGTTTTCATTTGAATTTCACATTCATTTCGAAGAAGCCGAAAAAGAATAAATATTGTTTTTCATTGATATAAAACAGAAAAATAAAAATAATAGAAAAAGCAACGATTTTGTTATATTCTTTGATTTTGTTTATATAAACAAAATACGATAAAAAAAGAAAAAAACTAAACTATAAATATTTACTACTAAAAATCGTTAATATATAAGAAACCAAAAACTCATTTATCCCATATAAATGCATGTAAAATGAATGGTGGTCCAGCCAGACCACTCCGACGTTATTTTATTTAAAACTGCTTCAAATTAAATGCATTAACTTTATCGATAGAACAAAACTTATTCAGTTAGCACAATAAGGTTTTCATGTTATGGTCTAGAGATAATGTAGACCTAATACTAGGTTTAATACTAGATAATCAAAAAATTACTAGATGTCATATTTATAGACAGTTGTAATTACTAAATGATATAAAAAAACTTTATCAATGACATACTTATTATACTATATATGCCATTTTGAAAAATTATTTAGTGTATATCAATAATTATCATCGTAATAATGCTGCAGACCATCTTAGATTATAATTATTCATCTCTCAGGTATCGTCAATCAATCGTGTTCTTCGCAACCTTGCTGCTCAAAAAGAGCAGCAGCAACAACAATCGCAATCACCAGGATCGCCTTCTTCCACGATGAGTGCAGTATATGATAAACTGCGTGTTCTAAATCGGCCTGGGCCACCACCTCCTGGCGACGTCACGGCCGCAGCAGCAGGTTGCTGGCAGCGAACAGCAGCAGCACCTTGGTATCACCAGACTACTGGCGCTATACCCGGAGCAGGAACAGGAACGGGAGCAATGCCCGGACTTCATGGACAACCTCAGCAACCTCACAGTCCAGCGTGCACAGTACTCCCGGACGAATTACATCCGAAAAAAGGTTAGTTTTAGTTGATAGCAATATAAATTGTTTTCAAACTCGATAAAAACCAAATAAATTGTGTATACGAATATATTGAAAATTTAAATAATCAAAGAAACTCATCGGATTGTTTTTATTTTCGCGAAAAATTGCAATATTGTTTCGTAAAATATTTTTACACGAGCATTTTGCATTTTCTACTTCAAAAATATTTTTATTTGCGCGTTTTACATACAATTCATCCAACAAAAAGGCTACAAAGGCAAACCGTGAATATCGCATTCTGCGTACTATTAAAAAACAAAAAATATATATTCAATGTATTCTCTTTGTGGAGTTTTCAACAAAGAGGAACATTCAAGCGCAGTGTTAATAACATTCAGGATAGCCCTCAAACGATTTTTTGCACGAGTCGGATAAGAACAGCTTCGGGAATATTTCGCGTAGCTTTTAATGCAATTGCAAGTGCGGTTCGAATTTTAAAATCATATTTCAAGTAAATCTGTTTAAAAGTATATGGATTAAAAATATTTTATTGAGTTAGAAAAATAGCTTCAATAATAGTGTAGTATTTTTTTACTACATTTATTAATATTGTTTTATTTTTATGTAATAAATAATTTACGTAGGTTGACGGTTCTGACATCTTTGAATAATGTACATTTTAATCTAGAGGAGCGAGGGGTTTGTTGTAACAGTTTTTTTTTATTTTATATATTTTGCGATTCACTGATTGTATTTGTACAACATATCAATAAACGCTGAAACTATTTCTCTGCCGAATCAAATAAAAATAATTTCATTACTGTTGTTCATTATTCCACAATTAATCAATTTTGTAGGAAAATTGCGGCGTTACATCTCACCCCGCATTTGGGGCTAGTAATAACGTAAAAAACGACATTAATATTTCTGATAATAAATTCTTTATTTGATTTTAATAAAATTGACTTGTTTCAAAGCAATTATTTTTATAAATCAACATAAACTATAATTAATACCACTAAAATATATAATGTCTCCTGCAGAATTTACAGTTGTTTTGTCAATACAAGCAGAAAGTTTTTTAGATCATTCAAATCGGACGGTTAGTTCACTCAAAAACTGCCGTTTTTGCATATTTAGCTCTGTATCTTCGAAATGGCGGGACCTGATAATTCAAATCCGATGCTCCGTTCTCTCAAAAACTCGATTTGTATTTTCTGCACTCTTTGCTCCGTATCTCCGTAACGGCTGGACCTGCCTTTGCCAAAAACTAATCAGCACATCTCCCTATCAATAGGGATCGAATGATTTTTAAACCATTCAAATCGGTTGATCCGTGCGCCCGAGAACGTGGACAAAAACATGCGGACATACAAAAAACACACACACACACATCTATTTTTTCTAAGTTATGCCAAAATTTTCGGCCCATTACTATAACTACCCTACGGAAAGTTAAAAATAAATAAAAAGTAATAATAATAATAAATATAATAATAGAATAGAAAACTGTAGTAGTTTAATTAGGTAATTAAATAAATTAATATAACACATATGAAAATTTCCTCTTCAGTCTTCTTGAATTAGGGATCTCGAATAGTGCTAAAACTATGTGGTTTGATACTCTATATTAATTCAAAAATCTTTACAAATTATATTATTTTGTATCCACTTGCTTATGAAAACATCATGTTATCGTTTTATATAGAATGTTCAAAAGATCTCGACCTTTCCTTCTATTTATCTAAGAGCTTGTTGTTTTATTTGCGTACATTTGTTTAATATAATAATCTTCAAACATCGTCCCCCTCGTTTCTGACGAACGCCGGGCGCACGCTCTCGCCCGGAGCAGGGCGGAGTCCCGCGCGATTTTTAACCGAAGTGTCACTTACAGAAACACGCAGCGATCATCTGCGCCACAATGTTGCAAACACCCGCGGTTGCTTACTTTGCCTACTGCCACGCACACTGGATTTAATCCGATCTTTCTGACTGGAAGAGCATTGCAATGCAAACCTTAAATAGGATTCAATTGAATGAGTGGGCCGAGACGCATATAAAACGATAATCAAATGCTTTGGCAGTATAGAAATGCGATTAAATTCTAAAAATTTAGCGACAACGATGTTTTTTACGTCAACTATTTATATTAAAAATTTGTTAGAGTAGAGGGAGGCTTAAAGGGCCTCAAGTAAAAAGGTCCACCATTATATCAAAAACAAAGTATAAAATTTTTTAACAATATTATTTTAAAGTAGAAGGCAAAAGATGTGTAATCATCCATTACCTTAATTCTTGCGACGCCACTATCAGGAGATAAACGGCGATGTATCAATATCCATACAAAAGTTTTTTTTAACTTCCCATAGGGTAAGTTATTGTAATCGTCCAAAAATCTAAACTGAAAATTTTTGCATTTCTCGACGTTTTGAAGGTTTCTGAACATTTTGGCATATCTCAGAAAAAATGTATGTGTGTGTAGATACAATTTTCCAGTCACGTTTTCGGGCGCACGAATCAACCGATTTGAATGGTTCAAAAAACATTTGATTTCTATTGATAGGGAGATGAGCTGATAGTTTTTGGCAGGTACAGCCGTTTCGGAGATAAAGAGCAAAGAGTGCAAAAAATAGAAATCGAGTTTTTGAGAGAACGGAGTATTCGATTTGAATGATCTAAAAAAAATTCAATTAGTAATGATTGGGAGAAGTGGTTATTAGTTTTTGGAAAAGGTAGGCCCAGCTATTTCGAAGATACAGAGCTAAATATTAAAAAAATGGCAGTTTTTGAGAGAACTAAGCGTCCGATTTAAATGATTCAAAGAACTTTCTGCTTGTTTTAACAAAATAATTGATATTGGAAAAAAAAATTATTTCAAAATAATTTTTTTTTTCAATTTTTTTTTCAAAAATAAGTTTTTTTGTATATCGAAAATAAATCAGTTTTATTTTTAATTCTTACTGAAGTTCAAATATACTTTAAACAAATGATTTCAACTTTGCAAATCAGTTTATATAATTCTTATAAATATTAGACAATGTTACAATATTTATAATAATCTATTTGAAAACATTCAGTATTTCTCGAACATTTTGTTACGGTACGGGAAGTTCCAACAATTTGCCTAAGGCACGATGCCATACACCCCATTAGTTATTAGTTTTTTGGACTTTGAGTTCTTTTAGTTAGTATACGTTATACGTTATACGTTTTAAAGTATATGTTATTTAATTGCTTTGTAATATGTATTGCTATTTATAAGTTAAATTCAACAGATTTTTTCTACATAACCTCTATAAAAGCTTTCATGGGGAGAGGGGATTAAAAGAAGCAACTAAACCTTTACATTGGAAAAGGTAAAATAAGAAAATAGTAAATAAAAAATTAATGAATTTCCGAATTTTCGATAAGTTAAATTAAATTAAGTTATTCCAACTCTGCTAATGACAATTTCCGACAAAATACCAGATTAAGTTTATACACAGTGTGATCTTCGAAAAAAAATGCGCTTATGAAATTTGATTTCGCATTGATTGAATAATGTTATTATATTCAATATTTGAAATTTGAAGTTCTTTGTCCCCTGGCTGTCCTGTTTTACCCCGGCTATTAGGTAAAAAGAAACTGATGACAAATTTTGTATAAATAGAACAAAAACATTTCTATAATTAGGAATTAACTAGTTATGAGAATTTATGGACAATCGAATGTTACTATGAACTGATACTTGTGATATTATTTGATTCTGTTTTTAATTATAAATATCCGTAATTTAAATTTTATTGATTTCGGACAACATTATTATACACTACTAAAATATGTTCCTTTCAATTTCGAAAAAATATTGTAAAGTGATTTGATTTCTTTAGTATAAACGTATTTTAGATATATTTCAATTTTTACTTATTATATTTAGTCTTTATTAATTTTTTTTGCATGCGTTTTTGTATATTGAACTTCTAAAGGACGTACATTTTGATATTCGAACGACCAGGAATATCATAATTTATCTTTTTTAATTGACTGCTAATCAAAAACGAATTAGGGTATCTGCAAATCAAAATTTGAAACCTATAAAGATAATTATATCCATTTACAGTTAATAGAAACATTTGTAGTTTGATAATCACATTAGAAATAATATGTATAACTATAATTTTTAGCATAATTATCGAATTTCCATAAAGATACATCATCAATATATAATTTTCTCGATATTTGTCGACAGATGGACGAGAAATTATATAGTGTTATTAATCGTAATTGCTAACTATATAAATATATATATATATATATATATATATATATATATATTAAATGTTTAATATGAACAAAACAGCACTCAGATTTGTTTAACACAACTTTATTTTATGATTACAGACGTTTCGAGACCATGGTGTGTCTCATCTTCAGTGTAATTTCAAAAACTTTTGAAATTACACTGAAGATGAGACACACCATGGTCTCGAAACGTCTGTAATCATAAAATAAAGTTGTGTTAAACAAATCTGAGTGCTGTTTTGTTCATATTAAACATTTAATATTCGTTCCACTCATATCATAAAATTCTATAATATATATATATATATATATATATATATATATATATATATGTATGTATATATATACAAGGCTTTAGTCGTGTACTATGTGAATTGCATATGAAGGCAATAAAAGCGTAGAGGGCTAAAACCAAATTTGTTCTACTCAATAGAATCGATTCATTTATAATTAATGACTTCTGACGATGAGTAAACTCATTTTATGCTGAATCTTTGCACGTTGTCTAAAGTTTAGCAAAGTTTATTGTAATAAATTTTGTAACCATGCTGATTTGGCATTAAAAGCCTTTAATCTAATTAGAGAATACTCGAACGTAATATAAGGGTCTTAAAGGTGAAAATTTGTATATATTATCAAAATAATTCAATTATATTTAAGGTATAAACTATTTATTTCTTACAAAAAACGCTTATAAAAGGTCTTACCAAAAACAAATAACACTAGGTGTAAATGGCATTTTGCTTTAAGGC